CAGCAGGGCGCGCGGCGAGCGGAGGGCGCCGGCGGCGGCGGAGCAGAGCGCGCGGGCGAACAGCATGGTGCTGAGCAAGGGCAGGAAGGCGGCGGCACGTGCCAGAAGACGGGCAGGCGGCCTGACCTCTGCCCCGGAAGCGGATTCCACCAGCCGGAAGCACTCCGCCTGCCCCGCCCCTTCCAGCTCCCACACGCGGGGCCGCGCGTTCGAGCCGGTGCTCTGCGACCGCTTTTTTATGGGAAAAGGGCAGTTGCACAAATAGTCGTTTCTAAATAGCTCCAAGCGTCGTTAAGAGACCACCCCAACAAAATGTGCTTTTATTTGACAGGTTTCAAGTTCCTGTATGACCCCGGGACCAGCAGGGCAGAGCTGTGCAACTCCCTGCTGCCACCGCTGAAATTGCAGCATGCTGCCGGGCTGCCACCTGGGGTTGCTGCTGGCCACCAACAAAGCTGTGCCCTTGGCGCGCTCACCAGCCACGAACAATGCAGAGAAGGAGGCAGAGTCAGCGAGATGAGCGTTTACACTTCAACCAGGCACCCGTAACACAAAGTGTCCGTGCTTGGAAAGAGATAGACGCATGCTGTGATTCTGGGATCGCTCGAGACGGGCCGCATAACCGGAGCGCGCCGGTTTACGCCAGTGCTGTCCTTCGCGGCCAGCGATTTGCAGATTAGTTAGAATGAAGTTCAGGTTTTACAAAGGCATTTCTCATATTTTTCGCTGACTGAGCAGAACAAAGCTGCTCAAGGAGAAGGCAGACTGGGACACGCTTTGTAGCCAAAGCACATGACCAGAAAAGCCATTTTAAATGGAAAGCACAGCTCACCTCCACCCATCATACAGCAGAGTAAGCAGCTTGTTGTTCCCAAGGTTAATGGTGTCAAAATGGGTTTGCAAATATGGTCGGCCCTGAGCAGCCCCATTAAAATGTAACCTGCCGCCCACACACTTTTTTTTTTTTTTTTTTAAAGTTGGATGCTTAAGAATGCAAGAGGGGACTAAATGCCGCATCTCTTAGAAAGCAAGGTACCACCACCGCTCACATTAAACTAAGCACGTTTTATTCCACAGTGACACTGCGTTTACAAAACTGGTTCCTCTCCCGCCCTTTTCGAAATCTAACATTTTAATTCACCTCAGCCTAAACCTTTACCAACAGACTTCTGTTGAAATTGAAAAGTTGCCTCTCTCAGAGAGGTCCCGGTAGAAGTACTTGAACAGATATTGTTCAAAAATAACTTCTACATTTTTATCCACCCCTGCTCTGTCACAATGGAGCAGCGCATTCTGCTCGTTCCACAGGTGAACGTTCTAGAATCGAGCAATGAGACTGGTCCAGCCTTTCTTAGTTCTAGTATAAAACACAGAATTAAAAAATAAGATTGGATCTTATTGCCATTTTTTCCTCCAGTGAAGAAACTGATGGCTAGATGCTCGAATGGTGTAGGCAGCAAAGACTGCCTAGGACATGACAAATGTTGCCATGCCAGAAAAAAAAAATCTAAGGCAAGGCAAAATATAAATTAAGGGGGAAAGAAAAAGCAGAGGAATGGCTGGTGTAAAGCCCTAATGGAAGTAATAAAGGGTTCTCAATGGAAGTCTGACTCCAGCAGACATCTTCATAGTCTTTTGTGAAAGTTGCTACCTGATTAGCTAAAGCAATAGATCAGATAGTGCTTGAGGTTAGCAAAACATAGAGCTTTATGCATGTGGGCATGCACCATAGTTAAGAGGGGGGTTTTGGTGCTAACATGCTGGGTTTAGTCTGGAACAGGGCCTGGGCTTCTGCTTTGACACCTGGCTGTCGAGTCAAGAGACACCTCTCCCAGCAACGAAGACTGGTCAAACACGATTGGCAAAATGCAGACACTGGCAATCTAATCTCCACACACACAAAATATTCTGAGAAATAATGTTTAGAAGTAAAAACAGAGCTGTAAGGTGGTGTAGAATGCATGGGTTGCTGACAACCGCTCTTGGGCACTGCATGACTATCGAGCCCAGATGGTTTATGTCTCAGACAGGCACAGGCAATGAAGTGTCAATTCAGGGAACCCTTTACTGGCCCTTGAATGTCTCAAAATAAGGTGGAGAGACCAACATTAGGCAGAAAGATGCCTGATGAGGTAAAAGACATTAGCACCTCCCTTCCTAAAAACATACATTTAAAAAGGCATTTTCTCTACATATACCTATATCTATACAGAGAAAGAAGAATGATCTAATTCCCCCCCCCCCAATAAAACTTGCAAAG